CAGAGCAGACTAAAATGTGTTCAGTTAAAAGGGGTTACGTATGTACGTGCCTGCGGTCACCCTTGGGCCCAGTTCATATGGCAAAAAATGTGGTGCCGCTTAGTGATCCTCGTGGAGCAAAACAACCGTTCATGAGAGCACGTGTGTACGTGCTTTAAAACTAACATGATGGCTAGAACAAATTCTCACCTATCCAATTTTGTTCAATTTCGTCTTTAACTCGTCAAGCACCGTCATTATAGACACAATTATAGAACAATAGGTTGCGGTCACCGGTGACCGCTTGGTGTTTGACAGTTTAATAATTTTGGCACTATAATATCACTCATCATCAATCATCAGGATAGATTTGGAATACCTTTGTATATCTAGAGATATACTTAGATGAATGATGTACCTACCATAGGCTTTCGGTACCTGTTTTTAGGAAGAAATCTACTGGTCATTACTCTCTTTTCCTTCTATTTACTTTATTTAATAAAATATAAACTTTTTGCTCAGACCTCGGAAGCGAGCTGTCGTTTTTACCTAATGTAATAAATCTTGCAAATTTTTACTTGCGTAGGCAGGACTTTTGGTTGGGCATCTTATGTTTTTAAGTTCGTTGTCCCTATTACCTTTCTGGTACCTAGTTTTTGTAGAATATTCTATGAGCTATTGAGTTCAAGACAGGCAAGACATAACTATGCAAACTTCAACAGAGTAAAACCTAGACCGAGTTTAAACTGAGCTTAAGTTCGTTTTAAAAAAGTCAGTTTTATTTACTGCTCAGAATATCGGGCGGATAGACGGATAAACCGATAAATATATTAATTAATCGACTTTGGAAGTGAATTTCACCCGAACTTATTTTCTTTTTAGGTTAGGCACACAGCGGAGCTCAGTTAATGAACAATAAACTTTGAAGAGTCATGGACGCTGGGGATTTAAAAATAACTTACGTGTTGTTTTATTCTTATTTTACTAATTTTTATTAGCATTAGAATTACGTCCTTTTGGTCTCCGTAAAACATTCAAAATATTGGTAGCTTAGGTAGGCATTAAAGCTCTGTTTAGGACTACATCTGTATTCAATTACCCAAGAAACCAACCGAGGTGGTCAAGTCATTCAGCTACAAAACAGTATTTCAGAACCAATACGATCTTCAAACTACCAAGAAAGGCCCAGCAGAGCTGATGCCCGACATAGAACCGCGGAGGACTTAATGAGATGTCGGGGCTCCGGCTCTAGCTTTAGCCAGTAAGAGTTTGACACTTCTTCTCGTCTCACCCAAGGCGGGAGGAGTCATTGGATGATTGCCCCCTGCCCCTTGAAAAATTAAATAAAAAAAAAATTATCAAGAAGAGAGCTTACTCCTTTTTGTAAGACTGGCAACGTACTATATTCTCCACTCTTGTATCTTACGGGTGTTCATATAGGCGTCGTCGTCAGCTCGTTTGCCCTATAGGTATTCTTTTAAAAACCCACTCTGTGTTTATGTAATTTCATCATTATTTCTATGTAGGTACGTAATTTAATAACATTAGGTAACAAATACTAGTGATGTACGTGTTTATATTAGTCTATCTATTTGGCATATACAAACAAAAATGTGGTTTGTACAGATTCGTATAAATCAACCTTTGATTTCATTAGCCTTGGGCTAAATTAAAATGTAGGTCATAGGTAGATACGGTTTTTCATTAAACTTGTCTACCTACGCAGGACCTATATTATTCGTGGAAATTGGAGCGTTCAGTTATTGGTATTTTTCTTTGGTATTCGTCCGTAATGAATGACCTTGTGGTTATGTGCTTATTGTTTATCACGTTTGTAGAACGTTTCTAATTTATCGAAATATCGAAGTGAGAACAAAGCATCATCTCCGAAATGGTAGGCTGAGGTGCACTATTAGGTACCATATTCATCTGCCTTATCTAATACCAAAGCCATGTGCTGACCTGACGGTAGAGTAGAATAGCTTTAAATTCTATCAAAGCTTAACTATTTAAACTTTAAGACTTTAAATTCCTAATAATGGCCTGACTCTGTACTTTATTGAGAACCAAACCTCGAATCTGCGACTTATTCGATACCATCAACGAAGCAATCAACTTTATAATAACTTTGTACCTACATATTTTAATTTTCTCATTGAATCAATATTTGATTGGACTTTCACCGTTGTAATTGTGAATGCTCCAGTAACTAAATGAGCGTGAATATTGAACTTCAAATTATATTCGTCGATTTCAAAGGTCACGGAGGTAATACCTCGGGGAAATTTCTTATTGGCTATTCAAGAACACAACAAGCTCTACGTGATACAATTTGTAATTATCGGTCTATTAAAAATTATTCGGTCGGTATTATAAAGGAACTACCTATAAAATCACTTAACGTTTACTTCTAACAGCACACATTTTACTAAAAATTACTAATTTACAAGTTATAGAGTAAAAAGGAATAATCTTCATTTTTTAGGTATCTATTATCCATCATTGCTTACCCTAGGCGAGATGGTGGCCAAACGTCATCCACTCAGGTAAAAAAAATACTACTTTAAGTACTAATACATCATATCTACGACATTGAAAAAAAAGGCGGACATAATGGGTTACCCCTATAATAGACCTAAGAAAATGACAGGTGTCCTTCGTGCCAATGTGTGCATGTTCTGCGTGTAGTCTATAGTAAGAAAATTAATGTATGGGGATGACACTGACAAGTGTCAAAATTTACGTCTATGCCGTATAATTTTGGTTTTCTATTCTACATGTAGACAAGCGTTAAATGGCATTTAGCTACAGCTGCAGGTGCCACAGTCAATGTTTCAAGGGACTGTATTTTGACTGTAAGTGCCTAAGTACGTATCGTAAAAGCTAGGGAATATCTACCCAGTTGAGTTTTCAGTCTTGTTTACTTTATTAATTTTTCTCAAAGTAAAAGTATTATTAAAGACTTAGTAAAAAAATAAGTAGCATAAATTTGATTCCATTCATAAGAAAATTCTGGCAATATAAATAATGTATAGATTTGAAGCTATCTTGTTAATTCATGACCCCCACGCTCGCCCTTGTGCACGCCACTGTGCCTACTCTGTACTTATTTATAATTTACGCATTTACTGCTAGGCTACTTTCTATTCTAGACTGATGTTGCTTGAATAAATTCTTGGTTGAATAATTCATAAAACTAAATAGTCTCTGTTTTAGAACTATAAAGTAAAAACAACATTGTACCTATTGCCTCGTTTAATGATCGTATTCATTACTGGCAGTAAAAGCCTAAGTAGATTAAACAAAGATTTACCTACCTAAATGTTTAAATTCTAAATTTTATGAAGTCTTTATAACTTATTTTTTATCTGTGGCAACAGATTTAAATTTATTTTTGGTATCTATGCATAATATGATTTCTTTATTATCTGTGTGGCTGTGTCCATTATTTACTTTAAAATAATGAAAAAAATATGTACTATCTATTGATGAAAAATTTTTACTTAGCTATTTAATAATTTATCGAAGCAAAGCAGAAAGGAAAATGATTGTAAAGTAATTTCAATAATTTGTATTGCTTCTTACCTGACGAACACCATGGCGGAATAATATTTTTCTGAGAGACGTCGCTGCTATCACAGCTCTCACAGGCTCTTTTATATGCACTTCTTGTTACGATTACCATTTATGCGTATTGAATTTACACGGTTATATTATTTACAAAATATTCCTATATTTATTTAACTTGGCTCGCGACCAACTGGATGTTACATATTTTTTGACACTGTGGCTTTGCTTGCCTGCTGTGTCATGTCATAAGTTTCCCGCCAAATGCACCACAAATATTTCAGAGTAAGCAAAGGACGAAAACTAAACAGTCTAGTGAAATAAAAAAAATAAAAATAAAGAGCTTACCTCAAAAGTACCTAATCAATAATTAAATATAGCTATTTAAAAATAAATGAAGGACAAGGTTTTACTGTTAATAAACTCACTTAACTTTTATTTCATTTTGTCGTAAACGTAACAATCACACAAAACACTTTCATTGCTTGCTCTAAAAATTAAATGACCTGACCCTTGTACCGTTGCTTTAAATTACACAGAGATAATTATCTGTTCCCGCATATTATATCTTGAAATTCAAATTTCATGGGCGAGGTTTTAAACTAGAGGAGTTATTTGAAGCGGAACAGTTTGTGAGCTATGTTTGTGCTACTCGTTGTTTTTGTCGTCGCGTCGCGAACTTGTGCTCAAGATCAATCTTTGAGCACGGTGTCTCCATCTAATTCACCACCCATGCCGTTTATGGACTTGTTTACCGGTGCATCTAACTTTTACTCAGAACCCATACGAAAGACGTATTCAGACCCACCGCACTATGTGTCGTGTCCTAAATCCGATACATTATCAACTTTTGCAAATATTCTCGGTAGTGTCGGTAAAATTATGTTCTCAGCTGCGCTCATTGCATTTCTAAAAGTGATCGTAGGAAAACTGCTGCTATTACCAGTTGTGTTCCTGTTGTTTGTTAAAATTGGATTCAAGGCGTTCCTGCTCTGGCCGATGATATCGAAAATGATGAAATATTTCAAAAAGAAAAAGAAGAAAGGTCATAAGTCTCGAATAATCACGGATTGTTCACAGAGGATGGCTTGTATCATTCAAAGGTCTGCATCAAGTACTTGGGCTAACTACATAGGTGCAACAGCAACGTTCTTTTTAATTGACGACCTAGAAGAAGATAGTTCTCTTGCCAAAAGCATGCTTAGTATTCTATCTGACGATAAAATAGCTCAGTGCATGTCTCTGGACTGTAGTTCCGGAATCGATATTAGCTGACATCTTAATGTTTACTAACATTCAAGTATGTAGGACAATGCAGTTGCTTCATTCACATCGTGACCCAGATATTGTGCGGCTAACATGAACTGCCAACTTGCAATTTATCGATGTTTCACTAATTTATAAGTAAGTGTGTTTAGGAAATTGTACATATTTGTTTTGATAACTTAGTCACAATGAGTCAAGTATATAGCATATTATCGTTGTTCGTATTATATTCAGTTCGATTAATTTATGCATACCCGGGTGACAATGTAATGTTAATGCCTCCGTTCGAGATGCGGGCTGTGGATCCATATTTGACGAACCCGCCAGTACAGTATCAGCCACATTTTCAGGCAAGTGTACCACAACAGCATGGATTCAATAATGTCATCAATCACAAGCGGAACTCGCAAATTCCTATGGCGGAGACTCGAAGCAACCAGAACTTGACGTTTGGAGAATTCATGGGAGCTCTAAATGAAGAATCACGTCAGTCGCAGCTTTCGATGCAAGAATTAAAAGGACTTCGGCCTCCTGCAACAGCTGGACGAGACGATGGTTCAGCCTATCCTACGCTTCCTCGACCAGTGGGATACAGGCCAGAGTACGCACCCCCAGCAAACTATCACGAAGGTGCGTCACTTGTTCCTCACACACCGCCGTCGACAGCTCAACCAAAAACGTCGCTGTTGAATTTATCCAGCGTTTTATCACCAGCCAGTTCAAATGGAAATGGGTCTGGAAATCTGAGTGGATTGCTCAACTTAGTATTTTCACTTTTCGGCGGCTCTTCCGGATGGAACATGAGTGGACTGCAGGGCGGGATTGTGGAAGGAATTATTAAACCACTTATGAAGGCGAAAGGAGGTATTAAAGCATTGATTAGTAAGATGTCTATCCCTATGATATCATTGATGTTGATCAATCTTGAAGTGCTGGTAACTATTTGGTGGTTGTGGGAGGAATGTCCTTCACCATTGCCCGAGCCCACTCCAAATTTTTCAAAGGCGAGCTCTCATTCTTATAACTATAACTCATACAGATAAGTGCTGTTTATGACGGAATTTATCCCAGTTATGTACATTTTATAGGTTTTCAATAAGATTATAGCAGTGTTAGTATTATTGTAGTAATGTAGTAGGTACCTATGTTTTAAGACTGAATGTAAAAACGAAAATATAAAAGTGTACATTTGTTAATTGAGTTTTATTTTGAGTTGTGAAACACATAAGTGCGTACCGTTTCATTTGCATATTAAAGATCTTGTGAAAACTGGTCACAACCAATTTACACAAAATCATTTACCTACTTCACAGTATATGAAATAAGCCATATAGCCTCATTGATCGCTTAAATGAATTCGGTATTTTAATAACATTAACTTGATAATGTTTGTTTGTGGAAATGGAAATATATTATCAAGTTTTCAGCCATCCATTTGGTCTTTCAGCAATAAGTACATTATTTTATTAATAAACTAGCTTCTGTCAGCGGCTTCCCTCGTAATCCCGGGGTAAAATGTAGCCTATGTATTAGTATCTATCCCTGTTCCAAATCTCATGCCGGTCTCTTTGGCCGTTTTGAAGTAACTGAGTAACAAAAATACACACAAATATGCAAACTCACAAACATATTCTCACAATTTTTTCTAACAACCCTCAAATTCCTAATCCCTAAAAGGCCGGTAACGCACTTGTAACACCTCTGGTGTTTCGGGTGCCCATGAGCGGCGCCAATTGATTACAATAGGCGATTTGTCTGCTCGTCTCACAAAAAAAAAAACTATCCATTCGTCCTTGATACTCCAAGGAAGGTCATAAAACTGTGGAAATGTGTGTGTGTCTGGTGTCAGGTGTCTTCATTCGTTACCCAGTCATGTCCTATTATCCTTAATTGGGTCGTGAAAGACAGAAAACACTATTGTGATATAGGATACCATGTTATTCAGTAAACGGTGGATTTATCGAGCTTTTACCAACAATTAAGTAGGTTTTGTCTGTATTTTACTTGAGGCTTAGACGAATTGGTACGACTAATTGCTTGATCGTGCGTAATCTTTGGTGATAGGTACCTAGTTGTGGAATTATTGTCTTGTATAAAGATGAATTCTTTTTGTTCAGTTTCGTTTGAACTGTTATCCTATTATTTGAACTGTAGGCAGGCAAAAGATAATTGTTCGAGTGGAAAATCGATGAGGAAAATGAAGTAAAAATCATGGTATCTTCATGAGATTACTATGAATGATAAGCGTGAAATTAATTTAGCAATAATTATCTTAATTCAAACCTTTGTAATGAATGACCAATGGAACTTAATCAAAATTATTTATTTGCTTTATAACTTAATCTGGGTACTAATCTACGCCATTGTCAAAATGCGTAATTCGACTATCACTTACTTAACTGTTTCATTGTACCCACCTTAAAAATTTTGGAGCAACCCTTTTTACTTGACTGTCAACTTAGATAACATAATTATACCTACTAAAACCACTATTCTATAACTAGGTACACACTAAAAGATATGAAAAATTAAAATTAAAAGAGCTGAACAACTTAATAAAAGCGTTTAATGTCGTTACCAATCGTGAGGAGAGTAACGAGTTTGCGTGCGAGCTCATTAATACCTTACCCCTTACCCTTGTATCCCCCGTAGTCCGTATGTTACCCCAGTTACCCTCCGGTCCGCACTCGAGGCTCGTTCATTAACATTATCTAATTGCCTGGACGATTGTTTGATTGAGTCATTTCGCTTCTGATCATTGTTTTTGTTCAAAGGATAGTTTAAGCATTCTTCAATACATAGTATAAAACAAAGTCGCTTTCGCTGTATGTCCGTATGTATGCTTAGATCTTTAAAACTACGCAACGGATTTTGATGCGGTTTTTTTTAATAGATAGAGTGATTCTTAAGGAAGGTTTGTATGTATAATACATGCATATTGCACCCGCGTGAAGCCGGGGCGGGTCGCTAGTAGCAAATATAATGAGGTCTAAGTGTAGAGATTTATAGAAGTAGTTGACATAAACTAAATACTATAGCTCAATGTTGTTTTATTCGACTATAGGACCAAAAACATCACGCGGCTGAATTTTTTTATGTGTTGTTTTTTTCTGTGAAGTAGTTTTACAAAAACAAAGATGGAGGACTTAAACTGTCAAACACCAAGCGGTCACCGGTGACCGCAACCTACTGTTCTATAATTGTGTCTACAAAACCGGTACTCGACGAGTTAACGGGTTGCCGGGGCTCCGGCTCGAAAGGTAGGAGTAGAAACGGGGTGGTTTTTACTCAGTAAGAGTCTGACACACCCTCCCGCCTCACCCAGGCGAGGCAAACACATCATATCCAAATCCAGAATCACATTTTTTATGTGATAATAATCGAACTCGCAGCATGTTTAGGGACGCTGGTAACCAGTTGCCGAAACAGACTAGCAACCGAAGTACCTACTCAATCAATCGACAAAGAACCATAAATTTGATACGTTCTAATTTTTAAATTAACGAACATTTTAAAAAGGTCTTCTTGCACCACAAAGTTGCTGAAATATAATAATGTCTTTCATGGTTTCAGATAGGGAAGTTGCTACCTAACTACTTCTTTAATAAATGATGCAAGTTGCTATGAACTTATATATATTAGATATGAATGTCAGTTTGTTTCGTTGTCTTCCTTCTACGTCGCAAAATGGTGTTTTCATGATTTTTATATATGGAGAAAGTTAGGAGACTGGAGATTATAAGGTCTAGGTACATATTTTTCTTTAGTCAAGTGCGTGAAGTCGCGGTCAAAAAGCTAGTGTTAAAGTAAACTAGTCCAAAGAATATGAAAGAATCATAACTCATTTTTTAACGTAAGTTCTTTGGAGAGTTTTAATGAAGTAATCAACTTTTTAAACGTTTTCCGTTACGACTAAATTATTAAGCTTTTGAAGGTCGTAGTTTATAAAGGCAGCTTTGAATTTGTAAATAAAACTTTAATCTCTTTATTTTATTAAATAAGGTCATAAGGTCAAGATTGTTACTTCAAGATGGGTAAACAGAAGTGGTATGTAGTGTAAATGATTCGTGATATTAGTAATTGAGAAAGTACATAGTTTTTAATTTTTATCAAGTTACTCGTGTGTCCTACGTGTATTCCTTGTTGAATAAATAGGTACATACATACATACATTTCGGTGAGTGTGCGGGGGAGTTGCACAACTTGATTCCCCCTAGTCCTTTCCATCATCATACGACATCACAATCGACGAAGCGTCACCGATTCATGGTAGATGTCCCACCCACACGCACGAAACGCTTCGCATCAAGCTTCCTTGTGCGTGCTGCTAAGGAGTGGAATTCTTTGCCAGAGTCTGTATTTCCTGAAGGGTATAACCTGGGAGTCTTCAAGGCCCGAGTGAATAGGCTGCTTATGGGACGACGTGCTCCATCGTAGACCGCATCATCGCTTACCACCAGGCTAGATAGTGGTCAAACGTCGCCCCATCAAATATATAAAACAATATTGAGATCCTAATTCAATAAATAACTAAATAAATTAGTGCAAGTTTTAGTACCTAATCAACCAAAATAATATCTTTTTACGTTACATGGTAGCCGATTGCCCAACTACCGCCCGCGGCAACCGTACAGTCGAAAGCTATTACCATCAGCTGGTCCGTCTACCCTTTTATTTCCTATTTCAACATATTTACAAGATTCAACAGTGAGTTATAACTCCCAAATTTTTGTCCACCTCTACCAATGGTACACGATCGATCGTTCTACCTAAATGTGTCAGAAAATCAGCGTTCCCTTCCCACAGAACTGACGGCTATTGGCCATAATTCGTGCGTAATAATCGTGATTGGTTCATGCTTTCGCTTCGTGCCTAAACGCCGGATAATCTGTTAAATATTACCCACATTTATGAAGATTACTCCAGATAAAATGGAAAACATCTCTTCGGGAGCTGTAAAATGTGATGGAAAATTAGAAACGATGTATTAAAATTGTTGAGACTGCCTCTTGCGTTGAGTCATAACTGCGGTTTCTTAGAATGATGCTCGATTCCTTAGTCAGGCATCTAAGTGGCTTTTAGGTCCTTCAAGTGTCCTAATTTATAAAATGAGATTTACGTATAACAAAACTTGTCAAAAATATGCTTCACATTATCATGTGTAACTGCTATAAGTAATAGCAATCTCCAATCGATATCCCAATTAAAATATCGAATACGAACATCGATTAGGCACACTTATATAGATTAGATATCAGCAAGTTAAACTTTATCGCGCGGTGTTAACGTTCAAGTTTTCTTAGCTTGTTATTTTCGTGAAATATCAAAGGTCAGGTTTCGCAACTTTTGTTGTTCAAGCAGTGTGGATAGGACATGTTTCCATAGTTTGTTTTAAGCGGGAGATGGGGTAGCAAGTTGACGTATAAGCCTGGACTTAGTTTTAGTTTAGTGTTTATAGGTTCTTATGTAATACTTCAGTATAGCCTGTTTAACCGATAATTAAGTGATAATAAGCATAACAATTATATAATTTTATAAAAAAATCAACCCTTTTCTGTTTTTGAAGTCACTTAATTAATATACTAAAACCTTCTCTCAAGTGTAACAAACACTTCTGAAAATCGTATCAAAATCGGTTTAACCAATCGAGAGATAATCACACACAAACATACATACAATGCATACATTCAGGACAAACTGGGAACCTCCTTCTTTTTCAGTTTAAGTCGGTTAAAAAGAGGTAGATGACTGTATCATGGTATACCTTTTAACCCTTGAAGGTACAGGAGGTGCCTAAAGCACAACTCACATGCAATGTAAAATCTACTTTACGCCAGTTATATGATGATTTCTGAATCTATTACTTCTTAATCTATTTATATTATGTGGTGAGTAGGGAATCTAGGCGCCGCACCTAATGACCTCAAAGATATCGGCGGCATAGTGGTCTCGTGCCGCCGTGCATTGCACAGAGAGGCTCTAGGAGAGACACATAGGTCTCCAGGGAGGTGCCGTAACAGGCGTTGCACTAAGAGGACCCGGTGCGTCTTTCAGGGGCGGATG